TCTTGGACAAATGTAGAAGAAGGTATGATCTAACATTCTGCTCCTTGTAGATACTCTGATCACAACTCCTTCTTAGGCATGTTAATCTTATGTTGTGATGCTATAACCTTATTTGTGGATAATTTTCCTAAAGGAGTGAGGACATCGACCTAACGTTTGAGGGGTGACATTTGTATCCCTTAATACTCATATATGGTGGTCCTTATTGTTTTATCACTCTTCCTCATCCATGTTTCTTAGACAAGTTCATCCTTTGGTCTTTAATTTATCTACCTTGTTCATGAAAGTGGATAATTAAGGAATCATTCGGAAACCGTTAAAGGAAACTAATAACTCTTGGTATAAATTTAGATCAAAGTATATTAGACTTTGGCCTAGACCAGAACATATACGTTGATATATTGGTATTATTTCTTCAAGTATGATTCATTTTAGGACGTTTGCTAAAATCACGACGTGCATGATTGAATTCGATAAACAAATAACTAATTTGTCCTATCTATAATCTTGTTTGTACTTAATTAATCTATTTAATTATTCACAATTTATTATCGTCTTCTAACATGTTGAATTTCATTTGATTTAATAGAGTATTTTAACTTCCATATTTGTTCATAATTTAACAATTTTAAATTTTAAATTCTGAGATCTTAAAACAAACCGTGAATTTTAGAATTTAAAAAATATTTTTGCCAATTCCAAAAATTTATGATAAAAATCATGAATGAAAAAAAGAAAACTCTTATATTTAAACTATTCGATATAATATTCAATCCGATAAAATGATGTCATTTCAATTCATTTTAACACCATAGAGTCATAAACTAAAAATAATTTTTAAACTAAAAAAAAATTATATTTCGAAAAAAAAAATTGTTGGATTTTGGTATTAACAATTCTTCATAATAGCATAACAATAGCATATTATATAAAAATATAAATAAATAAATTTTTTTATCATTTTAAATATTATTTCATATTAATATCATCAACCATTGAAATGAATATTTAAAAGAAAACTAAAATATTTCTTAACGGAGAACTCACCCACCCGCCTATATGATTCCATAAAACTCGAGAGATAAAAGAAAACTAAAATATCTCTTAATGGAGAATTCATCTATCTATATAATCTTACAAAATTTAAAAGATTAATCTTTATAATTGCGTATAGAAAATATTTCAATTTATAAATAAATAAATAACCAAAATATAAAAGAAGAAAAAAAGCTATCACTAGACAAATGTATATTTAAGTCTAATACGGAGTGTGTTTTAACTATTAAGTTTAAGGAACTGAAACAAAATGAGCTACACCTCATATATAGTTTGTCCATAAAAAGAGTTGTTGAACCTGCATGCTCATGAATATTATTGTCAATTAATTAAAATTCAAAAAATAAAAATCTTACCAAACTTATGTAGTCGACATAGTTTAGCTAAACCCATTTAAATTACAACCAAATAGAATGAATATCGAAGAATTGTGTTAAGAAATTAATGAAACCCATTTAAATTCCAACCAAATAGAAAGAAAAAAAAAAAGTGTTCAGAAATTGGGAATTTCTTTTGTTATCTAGTGGTCTTTTTTTAAGTCTCAGATGAAAAATTCAAATCTTTAAATTTTGCATGTGCAAATGCGAATGTACAATATTATATAATAACAGGTGACTTTGTATGTACATCTGCGATTTAATCTATAAATTGTCAAAAATAATGTGACTTCGCATATGCATCTGTGAATCCATAATTTCTCCTTTCACGTGTGCACATGCGAAGTCTGTGAATTGTATTGAACTAAACGAACAGAACAAACCCTTCAAACTCTTTTCTATTTAAATATTAAAACTTCTCATTTTCTTCTCCAAACTCTAACATTTCTACTACCCAAACTCACTCATTTTTGCTCATCTCTCCATTTCAACTCTTTTCAAATCATCCCAAATCATCTCCAAGCTTTCAAATTTGTGTAAGTTTTCTCCAAATTAATTTGATTCACAATGTAATCTTGTAATAGTTTATTAGGTTAGTTTATAAAAATTACACTGTGTATGTTGGTGTTAGAATAGTAAAATGTAGTTGTTTGAGTGACAAAAAAATGATATTTGAATGTTTTAGGGCAAGAAGCAGCAGGTTTGAAAATGGTTGTGCATAGGGGGTTTCACATGTGCACTTGCGAAGTCACCCTTGACCAATTTTACATGTGCACATTTGAATTCTTGCCTGAGTTGTTTTATTTTTAAAATCTAACAATTATAATTATTTATTTTAGGAACATGAGTGACAACCAGGACCCGAGCAGACGGTTGAGACAAGGCAGGTCAAGCCAGACTGTCTTGGCTCGTCGAGAGAGAGCTGAACAGCAGGTTAACTGGCCTCGAAGATGGGATCGAGTACAAAGGGAGCAATTGAATGTAGCTTCCCCTTTTACATCGAAGAGTCGTCTGCATCAGACGTCTAGCTCTCGTGCGCATGAGCGGATGCTTAATGAAGTGGGGGTTCCAGAGGAGTTTGTGGTGTCTGAGGGGGATGAGATACCCGAGCATGTTGCAGTACCTGAGAAGGCGGAGCAGGGCTATCCAGGAGGGCCATACGACACCTCCCTCTTGATTTACTATCAAGATCATACCGCTCGACAATGTTTGGAAAAGAGAGGTATATTTATTATTACACTTTTTTATTTTATATTTTTTACTCAAAAATACGATTGTAACAATTATTACTTTTTTTATTTCAAGAATGATTGCTCATAAAGCATGTGAATCACTCGCACAAAATTTTTTATTTGTTTAAACCTGCGGCTGAGTGATTCCATAATGTTGTGTTTGGATCTGAACTTGCTGGATTATGTTGTGCAAGTTACAATACTATAAGCATCGGGGTGCATGAGACTTTTGCTGAGAAGTGGCACAAAGAAACGTCGTCTTTCCAATTTCCTGTTGGGGAGATGACCATCACAGTTGATGATGTTGCTTGCTCCACCTACCTATCAGAGGCAGGTTACTTAACCATTCCAAGATAACATGAGCTGAGACGTTGAATGGATGGTTAAGTATTTGGGAGCTGATCCATTCGGCGCATCTGAGGACTGCAGAGCCACTGATGGAGCGCGTTTAAAGTTCTTCCACCTGAAAGATCTATATGAGGAGCACCTGATTGTAACAACAAGTGTCCGGGGTGAGGAGGACGAGGTTTTTGTTCAGTATCACTGAGATTGTGCTCTACGGTGTTACTATATGTTCTTGATTGGCACATCTCTCTTTGTGGACAAAAGTGAGACATATATGAATTGTGACATACTTCCAATATTTTATGAACCTGACTACACTTCGTGAGTGGAAGTAGGGGGGGCTACTTTGGTATATCTCTATCAGAAACTGAATGAAACTTCCAAATTAGAGGACGAGACAGCTCATTAGCTCGTGCACACTCCTCACAGTACCTTTCATTTCAACTATTAACTTTAATTTATTTTGATTAATTTATACTTACATAATATGTTATTGTTTTCGCAGAGCTGGATCATCTCCCACTTCCAACGGATTCATGGTTTCGAACCAGATTCGATTTATACTAACGGCGTGCCAAGGACTGCAAAATATGTCCTCCACACAGAGAATCATAAAGTATCATCTTACTAGATGTATCTTGATCGTACTAATCATGATGACATCATATGGATAATATTTGAAAATTAGAGGGATGTTATACCATTCGATTTCATCTCATTATACTATGGGTGGCTAGCATGTGGGTCGAGTCTTATAGTCAGGTATTTTCAAGAGAAGTGTCTCCGAAAGTTTGACTATATACAGATGATACCGAGATCTCCTTTTCAGACTGCTCCTGACACCATTGTTCGACGAAATATCGATGTCATCTTCTAAGATTGGAAGAATCATTTGATGTCACAGAAGTATCAAATGATGTCGACATCTAAGAGTTGACATTGTGTGGGGGATTATGTGACATGGTTCTTTAACGTGTCACACCCTATCATGACATCGGACCTAGACGTCCGCCTAGACCAGCTCATGAGGAACTCTTGGAGAACCAGCAGGCTAAAGATGACCATGCCACTAATCTCTTGCCAGTCTCAGAAGACATTGAATTCTGATATCATCGGGAGAGTGGTCCTGAGGCGGTTGTCATAATTAGGAGGATGGTCAGTGAAGCATCTAGTGCGACTGAGGACAGTCGACAGAGGAGATTACAGGGAGTCAGAATCAGACATACGCAATAGCCTATGTTATGTTTTATTTTGTATTGTTGGTCTAATATTTTAATCATACTTACTTTTCAAACAATTTATGTACAAAATTATGTCTGAACATCTAATTTAATCGTTGTCCGTATTATTATGCTCGTTTTATATTTTCGAAAAAATCATTAAAAAATTCGTTCAACTATAAAATAGTGAAATAATACAGTTTTAAACAAAAATAACACAAATAACAAAAAGTCCAAAAAAAATTTCTCAACAGATTTCGCATGTGCACATGCAAAACAACATCTAAACATGCTAAAAAAATGATTTTTCGCATATGCAAAACAAACTGAAAGGTGACTTTGCATACATACTTGCGAAGGACATTTTCGAATTTTCAGTGATGAAAATCACCACCACTAAGTATAAAGACAAATTTCGTTAAAAATGTGTTGCTAGCACTTATTAAAAAATAAAATGAGTTTTATTTTTACTCCTTTTGTATAGAACCACTGAGTATGTAGCAATCAGCAAAATTATAAATTCAAAATATTACATAATTTATATTTAAAAAGCACTTGCTATAACCTATAAAGCATATGATAATATTGAATAAGTATGATTTTTAATCAATACCCAAGCAAGACAAGGATTATTATGCAAGTTTTTTTTTTTTTTTTTTGCTGTTTCAACCTATATATATATATCAGTCGTATCGATATAGGCATATTACATCAGTCGAAAATCAGATAGAAACTGTGACAAATATACACAGATGTGATCTCTAACACACTCAACCACAGCATGAACCGCATGCAGGTAGTGCACCTGAAATTTCAATAGAGAGATGTAACTTATTAGAAAAAATGAAAAGTACAAAAGGAAAACAAATATATCTAAATAACCAAAAGATCAGAGCAATGTAGAAAATTTAAACTCACTATGGTCACCTCCGCGGATACTATCTAGCCCACGGACGTTGTCAATGCCACCACGAGGAGGGCCGCGAGGACCGCCGCCGCCACCACCACCGCCTCCTCCGCTGCCTCCTCCTCCACCTCCTCCACCCCAGTTCTTACCAGCAGAACCTTTCTTGTAGGCATCTGACTTTTCTACCTAATGGGTGATGAAAACATAATAGGGACACATCAATTTGGCAACAAAAGATCTATCATATAATCTATATTAGCAAACAAGAAACACATTAGTACCGAGAACATTGTGGCAAAAAACACGCCTATGAAGTTCACAATGGCCCAGAAAAAATCAGTTATAGTCTTGATTCGCCATATAGATCGCTTTGATTTGACAACCCCTGCACACAAAAATACACATCATTTTGTGATGTCGAGAAAGAAATAATTATATGCAAAGATTTATTTTGGATTCAATACAGCTGAAAAACTGCCATACATGTTAGAGAAGTACAATATAATATTCCAGACATCAAGTTCTAAAGGCACAAGAGTATAGTTGGTAACCTTGCTCTGAATTTACAATCCAGAATGCTATTAAATCATGCATCGGCAAAGAGAACATAACAATAACAAGCTAAACATAGTGTGATGAGTTAGGCTTACAATGTAACACTCTTGTTTAAAACACTATACAACAGGCAAACAAAACAAATGAAAAATAGATCAACAGAATAATAAGCTATACAATTTCCATAATTTACTACATAACTTTTTTGCTGAATAAGAATTGTAGTTTAAAAAATGAGTAGAATATATAACATTAGAATTAAAAGAGACTCAGAGTGGTTAGGATAGTCGATTAGTTAGAGGAGATATCATAGAAGAATGAATTATGTATATTATATTTCATTATTTAATAGCATTCTGAAGGTTAGGACGTGCAATCACGAGCTACAACAACCTTTGTGGGAAAACACTTTCAAGCTTTAAATGATGGTGAAACATGGACTGAAGAAGCAAGTACGTGTAATAAATTGGAGAAGTCAAAAACATGATGGATCAAGGAACAAAAAATTGATGTAAGACTATGAGGGGGAAAAGGTAGAATCTTGGGTACAAGAAAGAAGTAAAATTTGGAAATGGAGAATCAAAAATATGGCGATGGCAAAGAAACTTGTAAAGTGAGAATATAACGTGGGAGAATCAGAGATTAAGATGTAGAACTTGATTAGTTGAGGATAAAAAGTGAGCAGAGGCATTGACCTCCAATGCAAGGCCATGATGGTCATGTTTTAGGTCACAAAGGGGAAGCAAAAGCAGAGAAGACAGCCCCAATGTGTATAATGTTAGGGAAGCTCAGTGCCCATACTATCAACAAACTGTGAAGAGGCACTCACTCACCAATAGATGTGTCAACCTACAAAGCTCATACTGTGGCAAACGTTTCACTAGGAACCAAATTGAGGTTGAAAATGGGTACTATAACAGTCTCAGAATAGGACTCTAAGCTCCCAGAGGCAGAACAAACAGAACTGTCAGATCAAATTTTTCCAATAGCAGTTGTGGATAATATCCAATTTAAACAGATCAAACAGTCCAACCATGCCACAAAGACCATTGGAGCCACCAGAGGCTAACCAACATATGGCCGCCAGCACTAGCAGGAAATTGCCGGGAGAGGGAGACAGACGAAGCTACAGAATCGGATTCTGCAAAGTGAGTTAAAACTTTAAAGGGGGGTATTATACTATTAAGGGGTAAAGAATAAAGGGGAAATAGAAATTTGTCAGGATTAGCTAAGATTGTTGGTTGGTCAGAGAGAATGTCATGAATAAATAGGAGAAAATTATGAACGTTTGATAGTTGCAACTTAAGGAAGTGATTTATTGTGAAGGGGAGATCTCCTCCTATTCACAATCACTTGTTTTCAATCAATTTTGATTCTTTCTATAAATTTTCTATCTCTCTGGGTTCCTAACAGTATCATTATTTGCAACGGCAGAAAGATGTAACATGAAAGACAATCAGAGATATTAATGCATAACAAAGCTCTTAATTCCCTAGTACATCTATTTAGAGTGTTCCCTGTAAGAGATTATGATCTGAACACCAAATAAAGGCCAAAAAGCCTACCCCATTTGATAAATTATTATCAAATTTAAGAGCTTGTCAAAATCCTTGAAATTAATCAAAAGATATTGATCTAAAAATCTAAAGGGCATGCACCCTTGTTTCACTAATTACCCCATATAACCATCTCCAAGTGCAAAGTCACAGTGATCTTTCTTCATCACCTCCACTACTTTGTTTTCATTATGACAAACACCTTCCCCTACAAATAACTACCTCAGCATTACCGCCATTACATTGGACCCAAAGTAATGGAAAATAATGAAACTATCAACCACAAGGAAGTTAAAATCATTCACAATCAACTGAAGTTAAAATTGAAAACCCTAGTTTCAGAATTGTTAATGGATGCAACGTTGCCCAAAGGCCTCAACATATAAAAACTGGTAAATTAGGGTAACTAGGATGAACATACCAAAAGGAAATTGGGACAAATTTCAAAGAAAGATTCATCACGACGATTCTCGAACCATAAACAATTGAAAATTCGGCGTTTCCAAATTAAAAACTTATTTTGAAGATGAAATACATGAAAACAAAATTTAAAAATAAAAAAAATTGAATCTGAAAACACGGGATCAGAGATTCAATACAAAATGAAGGTACCACCGAAGAATCAACACCTAAACCTAAATCGTAATAATACAGAAAATTAAAATGAAAAAAAAAATGAAATAATTGAGAAGAGGATGATGATACCTCGTTCAACGTAAGCCATGGGGGAAAGAAAATTGCTCCAATTGAATTGGAAAATGGGCAATTGGTTATATCGCACTCTATTTTAAGTTTTCAACGGTGTTACAGAATAGACCAGAGACTCCGACTAAGTTCCAATTATATACCATCATTACGTGTCGATGACAGGTGTTGTGTTTTAAGTGGACGAAAAAGGCCAATGTGGCATGCTTCTGACATGGCCCGTGGGCTGAACTTCTGCTCATTTTAGCATGCCCACTTATGGCCCGTTTTTAAAAGATTTAGAAATTTCCTGACTTGTCTAGTAGTTTTCTAATGTATCACGCAAAAATATAAATCTTTGAAAATCGAAAATGTATTTCTAGTACGCATCAAAATTTAGATTTTTGGGAACGAGATCCTATGTATCAGTTGAAAATTAATCAGAAATACAACTATAGATGAAATTGTAGCTATATTTTCGGAAGCGCCTCAAATACACATAATTTTTAAGACTGAGAAACTCAAACTAACACGTAGATACGAATCAGAAATGCATTTTCAATTAGAAACGTAGTTGTATTTTCGATTTGTGTCGACACTAAAACGTGTGATGCCTCTTCCCCTTCTTTATTTTCATAAACAGTTTAAAAAGACAAAAAGCTCAACACACAAAAATCCAACCCTCTCAAACACCATTGTGTCAAAATAATTCCATTTCACAAAAAGCTCATCAAAAATCGTCAAGCATCACTTACACTTCAATGTTCAAACAAATTCAAGCAAGAAAAATCACCATTTATAAGTTGTTTTTGAGTTTTTTGGAGTTTATGTAATTTCACCTACAACTTGTATTTTAGGGTAGAAAATTCAAGTTTCTTTAGTGTTTGCAATGTTATGAGTTATAAGAAACGTGTTAGGTATGTCTTTTTTAGATTCAATGACCATTTTTTTAGGTCATTGGGGCTGAGCTTCGCCATTGACGAAGTTGTAAAGTTGTTGGTCGTATCGGAAATACATATTCGATTTCGTTCAATCAAAAATCGAGAATGCATATCCAGTTTTAGGTAGTCTGCATTTTTCATCTTTTTAACCTGAGTCTTATTATTAACGTTTGGTTCGTTCTTCTACAACAGTAATGGCATAGAGACCATCATATTGAGACACAGAAGGCTTGCACATCATGCTTTTGTGCAAAGGAAAATAAGTCAGACATGTCAGGCTTTTTCTACCTCTAGACAGGTTGTGCTAGATGCGTCTACAACCTCTACTGTTCCTATTTCTACACCTTTATCATCATCCTTTCGTAGTAGGCGAGGTTCTCCAGTTCATCCCTCCCCACATTCGTCCTCCCGTAGACGCACTTCATCACTAATAGTATTTGAGGCATGAGAGACATTTGGTTCCCATCTGACACCGGAGGCCATACAGCCTGAAGCACCTGACACTTAACCACAGCCTGAGGCACCTGACACCCAGCCACAGCCTGCACTTGAGACCAAGCAGGTTACCCATCACCGAGGGTGTAACACCCCAATTCTACCCCTCGTAATTAATAATAAAATCAGAGTTTCAAAATTTCCTCCAAACATAAATTGAGGTATCACATATTCATGTTTTTCATCACTTTGCATTATAATGCACATCACAAAAATCAAAAGTCGGATATACCGATTCATATCACAAATCATCATATAAACATATGAATATTCATAGCACAGCGGATGTGTTCACAAAATGTACATATCATCATGTTATCATCAATAAGTCATAAGATAGTATACATAAACTATCCTATCAAAATAATAACGTCGCCCAAATCCCGAGTGTTACTACTATCAGAGCAGAGCGACTCAAAATAAAGAGACTCGAGCTAATCTTCATCATCCTCACGGATCACCTGCACGTTACCAATATAAAGGCAACGTCGAAACAAGTAAAGGGTGAGATACTCCAAAACATATAATTAAAGGCATGATAAAATATATAAATAGTTTTGGAATCATAAATGATATAGATTAATAAGAATATGTCAACAAATATCAAATCTCACATACTTTAAAATCATCATTTAGTGTATAAGATCAACACTTTAATATCATCACATAATCACCATAATCATGTCAAAACAAGACATAAACTCCATCGCCATAAACTCATATCGTCGCTTTACCGTCATGTTATATCCATCGCATGATTTTTATGAAATTATCACATCATAATCACTTTATGTTCAACACAAAAATCATCACAAAACAAAGTATCATATAACATCGCAATTCATTATAAGTCATCAAATAAAACTCAACGCCAAAAGACTCAAAAATAAACATAATCGATTCCATGAGACACGACTATGTTATGCATGTGGTATCCATCGCTTTTGTCCATAATTAGGGACATTCGGCATAAAAGCCTATCGTCGCTTTGGCATAAAAGCCCTCATCGCTTGGCATAAAAGCCCTCGTCGCCAATGCAATGTATGTGACTCGACAACACGACATCACAAACACGACACAACAAAACATCATCGTCGCACATCAAAATTTGGTATAAGACCCACGTCGCCATATTTATCCACATCAAGATAAACATATCATCGCATCACATATCATCAAGTACTCATTATAAATAAACCGTCGCAAATATCATATTTAATCACACCACTTCATAATCAAATAATTCGCTAAATTTCAAACACGGAAAAATAGTCAAACATCAATAATCGTCGCGAAAGTCATTCATAATAATCGGCATCAATTAAAAACATTAACATCGAAATCGGATTGTCCATACGCGACTTAAACCGACTAAAATGCAACCCGGTTCAACTTAACCGTAAATTGACTTATTTCGGGTCGCTCTGTTAAAAACTCGTAATCTCGAAAAACTAACTTTACCATGACGTTCTACACGTCAAAATTAGCTAGCACGTCATTTTTTGTTAAATTCGGAGCAACTTGCTCCATCGTCGAATTTATCGGAATCGGAAAATCGGAACATAATCGGGGCAAAAGAAGTGCAAAAATTAGAATATGGGAGGCTACAGATGCATTAACACGGGCCCCCGTGTTAATCAACACGGACCGTGTCGAAAAGCCCCTAGAAAACACAAAATCACCAAAGTCAGTGAATCAACACGGGCACCCGTGTTAATCAACACGGCCCGTGTTGATTGACCTGCGTGAAAACTTCATTCTTTTGAGTTTTTCTCATTCTACTACCATGGTTTTCTTTCCCATTTCAATACTCTTAATTTCTACAAGCTAGCACCTAATACACCCACAAACCATACTCCTAATCCAACTTTTCTAAACCATTCCAACAATCAACCAACAAAACCCTATAAATCAACTATCAATTTTACCCCCAAATCCAAAATATATCTATCAAAACCTAACAATATGAGATGGAGAATCAAACCCCTTACCTTAAATGCTTGAATTGATTCTTGATGTTCCAACCCTAGCTTTGGCTTTGTTCTTGCTCTTCTCTTCTCCAAGACTCTCTTCTCTCAAACTCTCTCTCTATGTGTTTTTGTATGTTATGACAAAACAAGTGTTTGGTTTGCTTAGAACAAGATATAAGCTAACAATATACCCAAAAAGCCCTTGGTCTTACTAGTAATTATAACACTAATAATACTAAATAATATTATTAACCCAAATAATTAAAATAACTCCAAATAATTAAAATAACTCTGAATAATTAAATATCGTTCCGAATAATATTTTACCGAACCGAATGGAATAAAAACCGGACCGAACAAAATAATTACCGGTCCCTCAAAATAAGTACCGGACAGAATAAAATAATTATCGGTCCGAATAAAACGTCGCTGAATATATTAACAGATATACCAGTTAATATAAATATTCTCATCGCAAAAATAAACGTCAAACGGTAATTCGAAAATATTAATATAATATACATTAAATAAAACAGGGCATTACAGAGGGTATGCTATGAGAGCATACCTTATGTATCGATTGGCACGACCATTTTTATGGACACTAGTACCACTTACACTGGTGTCATGTACCTAGGGTACTTTGATGATTTTGAGTAGATCCATGAGTGGAAATGGGGGACTTCTTATTTGGTGTACTTGTTGAAGGTATGAGAAACACAAGAAAGAGGGGTTTGAATTGGGTTTTTGTTTCTCCGTGAAACAATCGCTAGCCTCTCATTAAAGGTTACTTGCAGGATCGACTACAATAATCCTAGACTGTATGTTTAAAGTGTTTTTGGGTTAAAAAAAGGATAAAGGGGTAAAAGGTAAGGACAATTGCAAAGTAAATAAATTAAAGACAAGGCTTGTAATTTAAAGTGAAAATATTGTAAATTGCTATGAATTTAAATGTGGAAGCATTCATACATTGTTAAGCTTGAACTCGTTTCTCTCTTAGATGCGGGTACTTTGAGTGTATTGCTATTAAATGTGAAGAGATGCGACCTCTAATACAATACACAAATTTGCTTAATTAGACATCCTAAATATGTAACTGTCGACGATTACTAGCCCATGTTTGGGCTTCATGGAAACTGTTTGAATCTTCCCACGTTCTTGCTGGCTTTCACGTTGGTAATTGTTCCCGCCAATATAAGTTTTTGCTTCATCGACCTTTGTTCTTATCTACAGATACCACCTGAACCTCGCGCCTTCATTGACTGACACTCTTGGTCAATGTTCTCCCCTTGCTCAACGTATTTGATCCTTTCTCCAATTTATGCCTCTTCAGCCACATAACCCTTATAGCTTAAGGCTTATTACCTCAGTCAAAAATTTCTTGTCAATAAATTACCCCCCAAAATGCCATGTTCGACGGAGTCTTGTCGATGAGAGAATATTGTGTTTTCTCTTCCAAATTTTCGATTGTACACTTCTTTGGGATGATGTCATATGTAATCATGACTATTTTCTGCGCAATAGTTCCCTATGTCACTTCCATCATTTCTCACGATCACTCCTAAGTTTTAGGGCGTGGGTTTTTAAAGAAACTCTGCCAACTTTTCCACTTCTTTTGCTTCATCATCGTTGGA